TGGCAGAACTAAGGGGGGGGGTCAGGGTCAGCCTGGGAGGGTGGGGGAAGGAGAACCCGGAACTTGACTGTGGGGTCCTCCAGGTTCGGGATGACAACAAGAGGCTGCACCCGTGTCTTGTGAACTTCCACAGCCTTCCAGAGCCAGAGAGGAACTACAACCTGCAGATGTCGGGGGAGACACTTAAGTGAGGAGCTGCCGTGGGGCAGGGGCTGGGCCTGCCTGCTGGCGGGGAGGCAGGGAGAGTGAGACAGAGACTGAGAGAGAATGAGAGAGACAGAAAATGGCAAGAGAAACAGAGAGGGAGGCAGGGCTTATGAGGCAGAAACAGACATAGGGCAGAAAGAGAGAGACAGAGGGGAAAGATGAACACAGTCAAAGAGATACGGAGACAGAAATGGAGAGAGATAGGAGTCAGAGAGACAGAGACTGAGACAGAGAGAGGTGGGAACAAAGACCCCAGGAAGCTGAGGAAAGATATGGAGAGAGCTGGAGACCCAGAGACAGAGGCAACAGGGCCTGTGGGACAGGGACCAGGGCTAGGGGGCTGGGTGGGGTGACTCTGTACCTATGCCCCCCGCCGCAGGACTCTGCTGGCACTGGGCTGCCATGTGGGCATGGCAGACGAGAAGGCAGAGGACAACTTGAAGAAGACAAAACTCCCCAAGACGTGAGTGTGGGCGGCCTGGGTCCCACCTGGAGAAGAGTGGGGGGCTGGGGTGGTTGAGGGATCCTGTGGGGAGACTGGGGTCAGAGAAGAAAGGACCATGGGTTATGGTGAAGGTCATAGGCTCAGGGGTCAGGGTTCTGGAGCCAGTGGTGAGTGTCTCGGGAGGTGTTAGGATTGTGGAGTTGAGTTAGGAGTTCCAGAGGGAGACTGGGAGCATGTCAGGCCCCAGGGTCAGGCTCTGCCATAGAGGTAGGAAAATGAGAGAACAGAGGTTGTGCCTCTAATTTAGAGGCCAGGAATCAATGGAAAGAGGTGAGGAATTGTTGAATTGTAAATAAGGGATCCTAAAATTACAAGTGAGAGGTCCTGGGGATAGAGATCAGGGTTCAGAGTTCAAGGACTCCCAAGCGAGGAGTCTGGTGCAATAGGGTCTTGGGGTCAGAGTTAAGAAACCTCAAAGTTAGAAGTAAGAGGTCAGAGCATTCCAGGGTTAGAGACGAGGCTCCCCAAATCAAGATAGAAGACTAATGGAAGCCAGAGTTCCGTGAAATCAAAGCTTTTGCTAGGGTGACAGGATTCTGGAGTCAAATGTCAAGTATCTCCAAGATTATTCAGAGAGTCATAGAACCCCAATGTCAAAGATCAAAGGCCAAAATAACAATTTAAAAATAAAAAGGCCAAAGGTCAGAAATTCCCAGATTCGAGGCTCCTGGGATCCTGGGGACAAGGGTCAGTTCAGTCAGGGATCCCATAGCACAGAACCCAGAGTGGAGGGGAGGTCTCCTCACCAGCACCACCCCACCTGTAGGTATATGATGAGCAACGGGTACAAGCCAGCGCCACTAGACCTGAGCCATGTGCGGCTGACTCCTGCACAGACCACATTGGTGGACCGGCTGGCGGAGAACGGGCATAATGTGTGGGCCCGAGACCGTGTGGCCCAGGGCTGGAGCTACAGTGCTGTGCAGGACATCCCTGCACGCCGAAACCCTCGCCTGGTTCCCTACCGCCTGTTGGATGAGGCCACCAAGCGCAGCAACCGGGACAGCCTCTGTCAGGCTGTGCGTACCCTGCTGGGCTATGGCTACAACATTGAGCCACCTGACCAGGAGCCCAGTGAGTGCTACCTCCAGCCCAGGCCTTGACCCCTGATCTCTGAACCAACTCAACCTCCGAGTGGGCTATATCCACTATACTGACCCCTTCTCCCAACCCTGACCTTTAGTTTGACCTCAATCCTGAACCTGATCTTAACCACTGACCTTGACCTAACTCAGGCTCTGCCTGGGTTATGGCTGCAACACTGAGCCACCAGACCAGGAGCCCAGTGAGCACTGACTCTGATCCTAAACTCCAATCCCTGACCCTCAGCTATGACCCTAACCTCTAACCTCTGGACTATAGCTACAACATGGAGCCACCCAACCAAGGTCTCAGAGACCCCTAATTTGACCCCTGACCTATCACTGACCCCTAATAGCAACCTTGACCCCTATGGCCCCCAACCTTCAATTTCTCAACCTCTGTCCCCAACCCCAATTTCTATTTCCTCCATGACCCTGACTCTGACTTCCTCTCTTTGATCCAGTTCTCAACATTTGATTCTAAACATCAACCTTTATCTCGACCCTTAATCCCAGACCATGACCATGACTGACCTGACTTTCTCCCTCTATGTCTCTGTCAGTATCTCTTCTCTGAGAGCTCTGACGGCTAAAGACAATAAGAGAGGAGTCTCACTCAGTAGGTCCCTTCTACCTTTTCCTGGCTAGTATGAGATTCCCCAATTCTCCTCTAACACCAAGCAATTGTCCCTCTTCCCCTAGACTAACCTTTGCTGGTCTCTCCCACAAACCTCTCGTGTCTTTGGATCCACTCCCCACCCATCCTCTTTGACTCTGGCTGGCCCTGTTTGTAGGTCTGGTGGAGAGCCAGTCCCGTTGGGATCGGGTGCGCATCTTCCGGGCAGAGAAATCCTATGTGGTGCAGAGTGGCCGCTGGTACTTCGAGTTTGAGGCAGTTACCACGGGCGAGATGCGAGTGGGCTGGGCCAGGCCTGAGCTGCGGCCTGACACAGAGTTGGGAGCTGATGAGCTGGCCTATGTCTTCAACGGGCACCGCGTGGGTACCTCCCTGGGCTCCACTCTGCTAGGTCCTGTAGTCCCTCCCACAGCTCATACACTCTAGCCCTGCCTCTGTCTGTGCCCCACACTGTCCACCCATTCCTGCACCTACCTTACCTCTCATCCATCCATCATCCATCCATCCACCATCTTTTACTCTTTCTCTATCCATTCACATGTCTATCCATCATCCATCTCCCTAGTCAACCATCCATTAATCTACCCACAAATCCAACTATCCATCCATCTGATCATCTGTCCAGATACCACTTAACCATCCACTTTTCCACCTATTCATTTGTTAGTTCAGCCACTCACATCTTTAATTAATTTGTAATTCATTTATCTATCCATTCATCTATTCAATAATTTTATGTGTGAATCCATCAATTCATTTATTTATGCACCACTCATCCACCCAACCACCCATTTATCTGTATATCTGTCTAAGCTTTCTTCCTTCCCTGCATCAACCCTTGTAGACTCAACTTCATTTCATTCTTCTAGCCAGTCGTACACCCTGCTTCCCATCTGTCTCACTAGCCATTTACCTATTCTGGGGCATATTGGGTATATGTGGGTCTGTATGGGGGACACTGATAGGTTCCTTTTCCTTTCCTTTCCTTGCTGCCACCCCCAATCCCCCACTATCACTTGGTGGTCTGTATAACCCCAGCCCCAGCCATGGACACAGTAGAGAACCCAAGCAGAAGGGAAGCAAAAGCATAAAAGCCTGTCCCTTACATTCCAGGGATCATGGATGCAAATGTGGGGAAAGATGGGGACACTGTGGGGTGATTGCTGCTCTGTCCCACATGCCCTGGACCTGACACCTTGCACGTGTATCTTTACATGTCTCTCCTTGCTTTCTTATGTCTCCATTTCTTTGTGCATCTCTCCCATGCCATGTCTCCCCCTCGCCTCCTCACAGGGCCAGCGCTGGCACTTGGGCAGTGAGCCATTTGGGCGCCCCTGGCAGTCGGGCGATGTTGTGGGCTGCATGATCGACCTCACAGAGAACACCATTATCTTCACCCTTAATGGCGAGATCCTCATGTCGGATTCAGGTTCTGAGACGGCCTTCCGGGACATTGAGATTGGCGATGGTGAGGGCCAGCCCCATGGCTCCTTTCTGGTTTTCTCCTGCCTGGCCTGACCCTACACTGCCCCCTCCAGCCTCCTGCTCTCCCATCCTCCCTTCCATGCTATCCCCTCCCCACAGACCCCTGCCCTGCCCAACTATCTCACCTCTGCTCACCCATCCCCTTCCCACCAGGCTTCCTGCCCGTCTGCAGCTTAGGACCCGGCCAGGTGGGCCACCTGAACCTGGGCCAGGATGTGAGTTCCCTGCGGTTCTTCGCCATCTGCGGTCTCCAGGAGGGCTTTGAGCCATTTGCCATCAACATGCAGCGCCCGGTCACCACCTGGTTTAGCAAAAGCCTTCCCCAATTTGAGGCCGTGCCCCTTGAGCATCCCCACTATGAGGTGAGGACTGACCTCGCTCAATACTCTCTGATTGGCCTCAGGACCTCACTTCTCCCACAATTCCCTTCCTTGAGTTTCTCCTTTCCTTCAGGCATCTGCCCCTTATTTAGGCCAGGTTGCTGCATTTTCCTTATCAGAACCCCTCATGGCCCTTGAGAGGGTAGTGACTGAACAGGCACCGAGGGGCTTGGCTGTGTCTCATTGTCCTGTGTCTCCTTCTGGGTGCTGGGCACATGGGCATGTTCACTCTGGAAACTCGAGGTGCTATGCACTTATGATGCATGCACTTTTCTGAGTGTTATGTTTCCACTTATAGGTGTAACAACATTTTTCCTGGGGAGCCTTTACCAAACCCTGGGCTGCTGTCCCGAGGAGGTCTCCCTGAGAGACCAGGGTGGCAAGGCCCCTGTTCCGTTCACTGCTGTGTTCCCAGCACCTGAAGCAGTGCCTGATACACAGTAGTTACTCAGTAAATATCTGGGTGGATGGATAGGTGGACAGGTGGACAAGTGGACAGGCGGATGGGCAGATGGATGCACGGGCAGGTGGATGGACAAATGGATGAATGGACGGGTGGATGGACAGATGGATGGGTGGATGGATGGGTGGGTGGATGGATGACTTGGTCAGGAGTAAGGCCTGTGCATAGGTAGGTTGTGAAAGCTCCCCAAGTGATCCCACTGTCTGACCAGGGCTGCTACTGTACCAGGTGCCCAGACAAATGTTCACAAAGGGCTGACCACACCCCAGGATAAGCCGTGTGCCCCATGGGGAGTTCATCCACCCAGACGAGGGGACACCTTTGGCCGATTCTCACACAGGTGCTTTAAGGCCTATTGGTATGTGACCAGGTTTAGGACCAATGGCCTAGCCCACCCATTAGGTTCAGTGTTTCCTGCCCCTTCCCCCAGGTGGCCCGTGTAGATGGCACTGTGGATACGCCCCCCTGCCTGCGCCTCACTCACCGCACATGGGGCTCCCAGAACAGTCTGGTGGAGATGCTCTTTCTTCGGCTGAGCCTTCCTGTCCAGTTCCACCAGCACTTCCGCTGCACTGCGGGGGCCACCCCTCTGGCATCCCCTGGCCTGCAGCCCCCTGCCGAGGATGAGGCCTGGGCAGCGGAGCCTGACACCGACTATGAAAACCTGCGCCGCTCAGCGGGGCGCTGGGGCGAGGCTGAGGGGGGCAAAGAGGGAACTGCCAAGGAGGGGGCACCCGGGGGCACCCTCCAGGCTGCAGCGGAGGCCCAGCCTGTCCGGGCCGAAAATGAGAAGGATGCTACCACAGAGAAAAACAAGAAGAGAGGGTGAGTCAAGGTGGGGCAGGGTGGAGCCCAGGGTCTGTCCTGGGACCCCCAGTTAGGCAACCTCAGTAACTTGAGAAACCCCATTGTATTCCAAGCTGTCCCCATATGTGCTAAGGGAGTCAGAATACCGAGGGATCCTAGCATATCTTGGGTGAACACCATTATTTTCCTAGGAAGCTCTAATTTCCCTGAGAATGTAAAATTGGGATACCCTACTATATTTATGGAGAACTTCGCTGACCTTGGGGTACCTGGTGGTCCTCAAAGCATTTCACCCAGCAGGCTTCTTAACCATGGACACTAAAGAGAAGACCTCAGTATCTTGGCAGAGTTGACCATACCCCAAGTTATCCCCATGGTCTTCTAAATCAGGGTCATTGCTGTGTCTCAAATGTACCCCCAAAACTATTTCAAGGGACACCCTCAGAAGTCATTAAACTTGAATTGAAATGAAGTCAGCTTTCCCCCTCCTATGGCAGTGGTTTTCAATGGGATATAGTCCTGTATCTTTTGGGGGTGTTTGGAAATTGTGGAAGATTTTGGTTATCACAGTTTCTGGGGTGCTGCTGCTGGGGTCTCCAGGGATTCTACTTGCTTTCAGTGTACAAGAGAGTGCCACACACAAGGAATGGTCCTTTCCCCAATTACTTTAATGCCCATATGAATAAGACATGAGAAATGCTGACTTAAGGGGACCGCTGTATGCCCACAAGGGAAGCTCCGTGTTCCCAAATGCACCTCCAAATTTGGGTTAGCCAGCACCCACAAACACAGAGTGCAGCACTTGAATGGATTAGGCTGGCACAGTTGGGAATTCCTCCTTTCTGGAGCAGGGCCTTGGGTATGAGAAACAGGTTGTAGTTAGGACAGGTGTAGGGGGGCATGAATGTTGTGGTCAGGAGGACTGGAGGACTGGGCTTGAGAGCTGGTTCTTACGCAGCCTCTCCTCCCCACCACCAGGTTCTTATTCAAGGCCAAGAAGGCCGCCATGATGACCCAACCACCAGCCACTCCCGCTCTGCCCCGGCTCCCTCGAGAGGTGGTGCCCGCCGATAACCGTGATGACCCTGAGATCATCCTCAACACCACCACGGTGTGTACCGAGGACCTTCAACTTCAGGAACCCCTCAGAGTTCACACAATTTTATGCTGTGGCCCCCAGTAACTGCCCATACCTCATATACACTGGAGACCTCAAAATACAGCACATACTGATTTAGTCCCTTGGACTCCTGGATCCATAGAGCTAGGGTCCTAAAAGTTGCTGAGAAAACTATGAAGTTATAAAGCACAATGATATAACTCCCAGGGATCTAAAAATCTAAGAGATAAACCAATATAAACTTGGGACCCCAATATTTGTGTTTACCCATATAAACTCAATATATCCAAATTTAATTATTCTAGTATATTCCTGGGGACAAAAATTTACAATTATTCCAATAGTTTGGGGATTCCCCAAATCTGAAATATTTTCTGAGACAAACAGCCTAATGTGATGATCATGGGTAACCTGCGTGCCACTTGGGTAAGTCATGTCACTGCTCTATGCCTTCTTGTCTATGGAAGCTCTATGGTTTTCCTAGCAGTAAAATGGGGATAAGAGTTAATTTGTGAGCTAATTAGTGAGCTGCTTGTTAGACATTATTTATTTATAACTTAGCTGTAACCTGAGGAGAGACCCAAATTTGGGGGTTTCACAAAATCGTCCCATAGGATTCCTGAATTTAGAAATACATCAGTAGACACAGAAACAGAGAGACATAGACCCAGGGGGGGAATCTCAAATTTGGCGACTTCTTGTTAAACTCCCAGGAGACACTGAGAATCCAGAGAAACCCACTTAAAGTCCCAGGGAGGCCCCGTGTCACCATTTTTCTGGGCTGACTGGTCCCCCCTTTGCCTCTCCAGTACTATTACTCCGTGAGGGTCTTCGCTGGCCAGGAACCCAGCTGCGTATGGGTGGGCTGGGTCACCCCTGACTACCATCAGCACGACATGAACTTTGACCTCAGCAAGGTCCGGGCAGTGACAGTCACCATGGGGGATGAACAAGGCAACGTCCACAGCAGGTGCAGGGGAGGGGTGGGGACTGGGGGCGGCGGGAGGTCAGCGCCGGGCACCTGGTTGGGAAGCTTCCCTCCTGTTCCCTCCTCTCTCCCTGTTTCTTTTCCTCCAGGGGCTCCTGCTCTGCCTTTTCCCTTCCTCCCCTTGTTCCATTTCTTTGTTTATTCCTCTTTCATCTCCCCCTCCTCTTTCTCCCTCACCTACTTTCTCTGTTCTCTCCTCCTTGCTCCCTTCCTTCTCCTTCCAGAACAGCCCACCAGCTGCTAGCTCCAAGGGGCTGGGGTCTGGCTGAGGGGTTTCAGTGCTCAGGCTGCAGGTGGTGGAGGTTTGGGGTGAGCCCTGAGATCATGGTGTTCTAGGAGCTCGGGGAAGGGGGTGTCCAGGGTCCAGAGTGCCTTGCCTTAGGACCCCGTGCACTGACCACCCCTATCTCCTCCAGCCTCAAGTGCAGCAACTGCTACATGGTGTGGGGCGGGGACTTCGTGAGTCCCGGGCAGCAGGGCCGGATCAGCCACACAGACCTTGTCATTGGCTGCCTGGTGGACTTGGCCACAGGCCTAATGACCTTTACAGCCAATGGCAAAGAGAGCAACACCTTTTTCCAGGTGAGCCGAGACCTCTGCAACTTAGCAATTGCACCCTGTCCCAGCATCCTGGGACAACCCTTCCAGGAGGACAACCCCTGGAGGCCAGACCTTAGAAAAACAGGACAAAAACAGCACCTAGTCTGTCCTCAAGACAGGCCAGAGCTGGGAGGTCCCTGGGAACTTGCCTAGTTGAACCACCCATTGAACTGAGGCCCAGAAAGGAGACAGAGAGTAGCCTTGACCTTAGGCTAATAGGTCCATATTCCCTTTTAGGCTGGGCACCACCAGTCGCCACCTTTTCACCAATCAGGGAACACCCTATGTGGGCCAGAATCCTAAGGTGGACTTTTCCTTTTCAACATTTTTTATGAAAAATTTCAAGCATACAGCAAAATTAAAGGATTTGTACAGTGAACACCCATATACCCACTACCAAGAATCCACCATCCATGTTTTACGGTGGCTTTATCACATATTTATTCACCAGTCTACACATTAATCCATCTAAGTGTGGTCCCTGGGTCAGCGGGGTCTGCATCACCTGAGAGTTTGTTAGAAATGCAAACTGGCTGGATCAGAGGCCGTGCGGTCCAGAGGTGATTTCAGGGCCATTGTGGAGCCCATAGCGCCTTAGTTTGGATCTGCAGGTGCCAGCAGGATCAGGATGGGCCAATCAGCCCCAGAGTTTGGGTTCCAGAGTCAACACCACCTGCAGCTCACCATCTTCCTCACCCTGCCCTGTTCTCCCTTGCCAGGTGGAACCCAACACGAAGCTCTTTCCTGCTGTCTTTGTCCTGCCCACCCATCAGAATGTCATCCAGTTTGAGCTGGGGAAGCAGAAGGTAAGAGTGCAATTATGGGACAGGCTGGGGAGGGAGGTATGGGAGGCCAGGCTGGAAGAGTAGCCAAAGGGGAGGGGACAATCTGGGAGGTCTCTCTGGAAGTAGGGTGGCAGGACAGAGGGCTGAGCATCCTGACCCGTGCACCACACCCCCAGAACATCATGCCGCTGTCAGCTGCCATGTTCCTGAGTGAGCGCAAGAACCCGGCCCCGCAGTGCCCACCACGGCTTGAGGTGCAGATGCTGATGCCCATCTCGTGGAGCCGCATGCCCAACCACTTCCTGCAGGTGGACACGCGACGGGCTGGCGAGCGGCTGGGCTGGGCCGTGGAGTGCCAGGAGCCACTAATCATGATGGCACTGCACATCCCCGAGGAGAACCGGTGAGGGCCAGCCCGGCTGCCTGGGGATGGCAGAGGGGGGCGGGAGGAGGGTATTGTAAGTCCCCTAGGTAGAAAGGCACAGACCTACCTTATTGTCCCCAAGTAACACCCCAGGAAGCTGAAGATTCATCTCAGTGGACCCCAGACACACCTCGGGGGACCCAGACTCAGCCCAGGCATCCCAGATGCACTCCAGGAAACTCCAGACCCACCTCAGGGGACCACAGACAACATCCCAAGGGGCCCAACCCACCTTACAGGGCTCCAAACCTATCTTAGGGAGCCCAGACCCACATCAAAGAGCCCACATACACACCAGGGGCCTGGGCATTACTTGGAGAGGCCTGGATGCACCCCAGGGTCTCTCGGGCACACCCAGGAAGACTTCGGATGTATCCCATGGAGCTCTTCTAACCCACTCCAGGGGACTCAGACACACCTGGGTGGACACGTGTTCACATGGGTGGCAGGAATGCTCTTAGGGACTCCGAACATGGCCAGGAATCCCAGACTCACCCCATGAGGCTTTCGATATGCCTCATCTTTCCTTTATTCATTCGACACATGGCTTTGAGCTCCTCCTATGTGACTGGCAGCATTCCAGGCTGGAGACCACCAAGCCCTTGTGAACAAACATTCTAGTAATGCTCATGTATAACTTATTGGGCTCACACCCATCCTGGGGCCAGACACCTCCATTTATTCAGTCAACAAATATTTATTGAACACCTGCTATGTGCTAATCCTGTTTAGGTGCTGGGAATATAGAAAGAAAAAAAGCAGGCAGAAATGTCCTTCCCTGGTGGTGCTTACATTCTAGTGGTGCTCAGATGTAACCAGGGTACTCAGACCTGCTGGGGGTGGGGGGAGGGGGATCAGGCCCAATTCTGGATCCCAGATACACCTCAGAGTCACCAAATATTCCCCGTGAAGTCTCAGATACCCCAGAGTGCCAGACATTCCCAGGGCACCCCCAGACACCTTAGGGACTTCCAGAACCATTGAGAGACTCCTAAACCCAGCTCCATAGACCTCACAGAACCTTGGCCAAGCAGAAAACTGGGATTTCTTGCTGGGGCTGCCAAAACTCACTACACACCTCTTTGCCTCTCTGTGGTCTGTGTCTCTGTCTCCCACCTCCCCTGCCTGCTCTGTCCCTCTCTGTGGCTCATTTTGCCATAGGTGCATGGACATCTTGGAGCTGTCCGAGCGCCTGAACCTGCAGCGCTTCCACTCCCACACCCTCCGCCTCTACCGTGCAGTGTGCGCCCTGGGCAACAACCGTGTGGCACATGCTCTGTGCAGCCACGTGGACCAGGCGCAACTGCTGCACGCCCTGGAGGATGCACACCTGCCCGGGCCCCTGCGTGCTGGCTACTACGACCTCCTCATAAGCATCCACCTGGAAAGTGCCTGCCGCAGCCGCCGCTCTATGCTCTCTGAGTACATCGTGCCCCTCACGGCTGAGACCCGCGCCATCACCCTCTTCCCACCTGGAAAAAGCGAGGATAATGGTCCCCGCCGGCACGGCCTGCCTGGCGTTGGCGTCACCACCTCCCTTCGGCCTCCACACCATTTCTCACCTCCCTGTTTCGTGGCTGCCCTGCCAACTGCTGGGATAGCAGAAGCCCCAGCCCGCCTCAGCCCCAGCATCCCTCTGGAGGCCCTGCGGGACAAAGCACTGAGAATGCTGGGGGAAGCAGTCCGAGATGGTGGGCAGCATGCACGTGACCCTGTTGGGGGCTCTGTGGAGTTCCAGTTTGTCCCTGTGCTCAAGCTTGTGTCCACCCTGCTGGTAATGGCTTCCTCCTGCTTTCCTCTGTCCCACTCTTCCACAGTCCAAATAATCTGTCCATCCATACACCGACTCCCCTTCCCTTTATGTACCCAACCACCCATTCATCTCTCCGTCTATGCACCCTCCACCTTTCAATTTATCCCTCCATCATCCACTCATCCTTCATTCACTTTTCCTTCCATTCATTAATCTGCCATCTATTCATATTTTCATTAAACTCTGCTTCTTTCCATTCATCCACCCACCAACCGTCATTCATCCCGCTACTTATTCTTCCATTCTCCAACCACATATCCATCCATCCATGTATCAATCTGTTTAGCCTTCAATCCAGTTTCCCATTCAGCCTTCTGTTCACTCACACATCAGTTCATCCACCATTCCATTTATTCATCTGTCTACTTACCCATTTACTTACTAATCTATCTTTTCTTTCATACATCCAACTATCACCCTGTTTCTACCTGTGCATCCATACCTCCATATATGCCTCCATGCACCATCCACAGATCCACCCATTCTCCATCTTCCACCTACCTGTCCACCCACACATACATGTCTCTATCCAGATATATGTATTTTCCACCCATCAGCCAACCTGCGAATCTATCCAACCACCTGCACTCCTTCATCCACTCACCCATCCACCGAGCCTCCATCTTCTAGTCACCCTTTATTTCATGTACCCTTTCATTCACATACCCACCTAATGGCTCACCCATATACCTACTGCAAACCCACCCAGCTTTTCATACAAAAAATTATCCATCCATCCCACCCCATCCCATGACTACTCACCCATTCATCTGTTTACCCATACACTCATTTACTTGCTGGTGCATCTATCAAACCACCCATTCACCTACCCACCTATCCATAGGTCATTTGTCCTGTCACCTGTTCACCTGCCATAGTCCCCCACCTTTAACTTCACCTCTCCATTCCTTATCCACCCACCCATCTTTCTCCTCTTCAACCCTTACTGTTCCGTCTATTAATTCAGCCACCCAGTTCTCCCCCCACTCATGCAGGTTTCCCTTTCTCATCTCTTCTCCCCTTTTACCTACCCACTGCCCTCCCATCTGTTAGCATCTCCATTACATTGACTGAGAACCGGCATGTGCTGGGGGCTATAAGGGCCTCCACTGGGTGTGGGGTGCGTCCAGCTCCAGAGGCACATGTGCTCCAGCTTGGGAGCGCAGACACTCACTTATGAAGGGAGAGGTGCTCACGTTTAGCTGTGTGGTCTGGGCCATGCGGGCGGGACCCTGGATCTGGATCTGGGGGAACCTTAAGGGGGATGAATGTGGGGGCAGAGGACTGCCGGTCCTGCCTGTGGGAGGAGCCGCAGAGCTAAGGCAGGAATGACGGCTATGGGCAGGGGAAGCGCGTCTGGGAGGTGATGCTGGGACTGGCTGGGGCGCAGTGAAGGACCTGGCTCTGTTCCGCAGGTGATGGGCGTCTTTGGCGATGAGGATGTGAAACAGATTCTGAAGATGATTGAGCCTGAAGTATTCACTGAGGAGGAGGAAGAGGAGGAGGAGGAAGATGAGGAGGAGAAGGAGGAGGATGAGGAGGAGGAGGCCCAGGAG